ATATACATACAACTGATATAATCTCAAATGTAATAAAATGACTGTCCTAATTTCTTTTAGAAACTAAAAGAAAATTAAGTTATTCAGTCAATATTAAGAACTCAATATCTTAGTGATATGAAGAAGTCACTTACGGAAAAAAGACAGGTTTAATACAGTAGGCGATTATATTTCCGTTTCCTACAAAATATCCGATCTTCTTCCAATATTTTTCACTCTTCCTCTTTTTTCAACCTTACTACATACTACTCATTTCTTGTTTCTAGTATGAAACTCCTCAGTACTTTGTATTCACAACCCCACTAAAAAGCATTGAACCCAGGATCTTCTATCTTGGACGAGAGCGCTTCTAGATCATTGAGGGAAGATCTATCGGTGCACATATCTGATTTTAGTCAGTCCGCGATATTATGTGAACACCTTTAATTGCTTTTGGTGAATACCTTTCTTATACACGACACAATACAATTCCATTAGACCTGGTTTCCCACTAGAAATAAAGGGGTTCTCTATCGAAGACAGTCACTAGTGTGCTCATGATAGTTATCAAGAATAGGGATTTGATGTATTGTTGAATGATTTTGAGATTGATTATGTGGCAGTGGTTAAGTTCACATTTGCCTTGACACTTTGACTTAATTGGCTATCTGATGAATTATAGCAATTGTGATAATTTCTTATCAATATAGTTCAGTCAACAATGCAGGATATGTGACTTATAAGTTAGCACTTATAATAACTGTGCTAAGTAATTTCAATCATTTAATTCAAAAAAGTAGATGTTTACCTGAAATAATGACGTGATTTTGTAATTACATCCATTTCATTATTAGTGATCTTATTTTGAATTATGAAAATTGTATTTAGGTTCGATTCTATGCTGAAACGTGGATACTGACTGTTGATGAATCCGGAATTAGAAAGTTATATTATTTCAATACCGTCTGATAGTAACTAGGGAAAACGTTTTTGAATTACCGAACATTATGCAAATTACTAGTGGGAATATTGATAATTTTACTTTATTTTACAACCAATCCCTAATTTTATATCAGAAGGGGTTTTGTGAATATTATAGTAATTTCAATGGTTGAAATCATGAGTTGGTTGAAGCTACACCGGAATCGTGGTCTAGTAGTTAAGCGCTCGCGCGCGAGACTGATAGGTTCTGGATTCGAATCTCGCGACGGTCGAGATCGTGGATACACACTGCTGAGGAGTCCCACAGTAGGACAAAACGGCCGTCCAGTGCTTTCAGGTTTTCCATGGTGGTCTAGCTTCAATCGGCTCATGATCTCGACCATTGCAATTCTAAATTCATATGCCATAATGTTCAACAATGTACTGGCCGTAAACTTAATCATCCACTTTTAATCATTAATTCGAATGCAAAACTGTAGAATGTAATGACAATCTTTATTCAGATTGTCTCCTTTTTAATAAACTGGGAAATTTGATAAACCTGATAATTTTAATAGTTGAATTCATGAGTCGATTAAAGCCAGACCACCGTTAAAAACCTGAAATCACTGGACGACCATTTCGTTCCAGTATGGGATTCTTCGGAAATGTACATCCACGATCTCGCGCTAAGGAACTCGAATCCAACACCTTCTGTCTCTCACGTGAACTCTTAACCTGTAGACCACTGGGGCGGCATCCAACGGATAAATTTCCTGTAGTTCTGGTGGGAAACTGTGACTAGTGGAGTTCAAACTGTGTTGGGTGTGAGATAGCTACTCATTGAAGAAAATGGATGAAGGGTTGAGAAAAATCATGGATTGATTAAAGTTAGACATAAACACAGTTGGATGCCAACACGATGGTCTAGATAGAGGTTGATTGTTCAGTTGAAAGAGCGATGGTGTTGGATTTGAGTTGCTTTGGTATGGGATCGTGGATGCCCACTAATGAGGAGTTCTATACTAGAACGAAACGGCCATCCAGTGCTTCTAGATTTTCAATGGTGGTTTAGCTTAGATAAACTTATGAATTCAACTATTAAAATTACCACAATCTCCACAAACCCCTATTCTAATAATATTCCTGATAATAATAGCTATACAAAAGGTGGCTTTATTCATTACAGTAAAGTGACTTTAAGCTAAAATATCGTAACAAATTTCACATTTAATATTCATTTAACCCATTAGCATTTAAAGTGTATATGAGAAATTCATAAGTATGATTACTCTAACGTTTTAAACCAACTGATTACTGGTTGAGTAGTTTATGATAAGAAATATATTATTACACTATCCTATACGAAGAAGATTTTTACACAGTGATTAAAAGTCTCACATCTTCACATACAAATGATTCTTCAACAATTTTCTTCCACGATATCGTCTGTCACCTCATGCAATATGTTTAAAGCATTAATTCTATTACGATGGCTTCCTATCTCTTTATATAATATACGACTGGGAAAAAAAAATTACAAACTACATATTACAGATCTGCTTGAATTTAGTGTCAACTACCTACATAACTGGTTTTAACCCTTTTGTAAAGGCTCTTCAGTTCATTAAATAATCGACATACATAACGTTAAAAAAGTTAAAATAAAAATATAATTTATCTTAATATGACCACTACTGAAAACCTGGAAGCCCTAAGAGCCTAAAACATTCGACCTCGCGCTAACGAGTCCCATATCAGAACAAAACAGTTGTTCATTGTTCATTGGTTTGTAGTGATTGCGTATGTTTTTTTTATTATTCAGCTGGAAAACTATAACAAATCAAGGAATATTGGATACATATTTGGCCTTTTATTTGAAACTGCATAGTAATATACACCCAGTAGACATAATGATGTATTAAAGCAAACAAGAAAAAAACAGATAACTTGTTGAAATATCTAGATTTTAGGGAGGAACAGATAACCCATATGTTCGAACAGGCCGGTAATTATGTTATTTGTATTCGATAAATTATTTAGGTATTTTTATGTTGAACAGTTCTTGTAAGATAAAATTACCATCAACAACTGTACAAGATGACAATGGTCAGTACTCAGTGACTAATCACTGCAAATATAATAGTTTGTTACTAAGTTATCAGTTCTTAGTATTACTTAATTCTATTTTCTTTCCAGTTCAAACATTAAATTGTACAAATTGTATACTAAAAACCATTAGACTGTTATTCACACCATTATTAAATTACCTTATAGGTACTTGTGTACATTATATTTATATTCCAAAAGATATACATATACGATATTTGAATGAAATCAGTATGTAGAATTTGCATTGGCTTCTTCCTGATCTTTTCAGAGATATCGTTCAATTTTAAGATGAAGTTATGGATTAAGGTTTCTTGATTTCATGACCAAATTTGCGATTGTTAAAATAAGGTAAAACACTACTTGTCAATGAATGACATGTAGGGATACAATGTGATCGATTGATAGCTGCTTACAAGAATATTGGTCTAACCCGTCGTATAATCTGAGATCAAATAAAATACCAGTAGTCTATGGTAGACTGTAAATTCAGGTACACATATGAATAGGTCTTTATTTCTAATAAAACAGGACGATTATACACAAAATATGAACAGAATAATAAACATGATTAAATATTATAGGCAATTGAAAGGGATCAATTTTATCAGCCACTCACATTCCATTTAGTTACAAACTTACCCCTCTTATTTATAGACAACAATAATGTCACTGAATTAATTGAAGTCGGAGATGTATTAGATGTCATTAACTCAATAATCTGAAGGTCACGAATTTAACTCCAGAGAAGGTCGTTGGAAGATTTCCTATGAAGTCCCATACCAGAACAAAATAATGATCAATTGCTCTATACTTTCCAAAAGTTCTCTATCTGGAATCAACCAGTTCATGATGCTGATTTTCATCAAAATTTCTGTATATTTTATTCTAAATTGTATCATTACATTCTTCACTAAAAATCAAGTATGTTACATAAGATATTGATTTGGTAATTCAAGATTATGTCTTTTCTTTACAAAACAAACAATCATAAACATCTCTTCATTGCATTCATTTACTTTTTATTCTTGATGAAGTTTTGTTCTTTGAGCTGGATGGTTTGGTTAGTGGAGTTTTCATCGTTATTCAAATAAACGTTTATGCTAATATGATGCCATTCAAAAGGAACAATAAAAGCTCCATAATCAAATTATTCAGCTCAGAGTACAAAACTTCATCAAAATCATTGATCTGAGCTATAAATCTTCTCCACTTTTTATTATACAGTTTGTAAATGAATCAGACTAATTCATCCTTATTCCAATTGTCTATATCTTTAATAAACAATTTATGATTTATACAATATAACACAATGATACACCATATTATTCAAATGTTCAACAATCATTTCAATCACCATAGTGATTAGGATAAGTTTAACAATGATCAGAATAATGATGATCCATATAAGAAGATCATAAATGATAATTATGATGTGAATATTTTTCAAAATTATACAAAACAATACTATTATTATTATTATTATTATTATTATTATTATATACAACAATTTATACCATCATCTTTATTCTTATTTACCTGGACAAAATTAATGAGAACAGAATTGTTTCGACAAACATTACAGAATGTCATTTTATTAAATTATGATAATTACGTAATGACTAGTTTACAATCCACTAATAGTCCGGTTAATAATAATAATAGTGACAATAGTAATGGTAATGGTAATAATAGTAATGATGATAATAGTAACGGTAATCATACAAATCCAGATCTAATTGATCTAACTCATAGAAACGCTTTAAACAAAAAATATTTGAATAAATTAAATAGCTTATTATTTGAATATTTATCATCTAACAAAGATTGAGCATCGTCATCATCATCATCGTCGTCGTCGTCGTCATCATCATCATCATCACCACCGTTGTTATCATCAACAAATATCATTGAACCATATCGTCAGTTTATTGGATAGAATAATTATGAATCAAGAAATTTTTTATATCAATGGTTAAATCAATCAATTAATGAATTGTAATAATTTATATGATGATAACACTTTGATCAAGAATATAAACCATGAAAGTAATCATTTATTGAAATTAGATGATAATCTACCTCTTGAAGAAGCAACAGTTCAATTCAATGATGAAAATAATGATAATAATAATAATAGAGATTTTCATGTTGATAATAAATATCATTTAGATTCATATAGGACTTCATTCAATATACCCGAAATATATCATTCTAAATGTAACCCTTTATGGTCAGATATATGTTGTACAGAGAATTATCATCTTGAATTATGTCAGAATTGTTCCATTTGGAAACAAACATCATCATCATTATCCCCATCACCATCATTATCAGTGGCAGCAACACCACCACCACCACCTCCATCATCAATCACTGATTGTTCTTTGAATACTAAACATACAATTATGAATTCATCATTTATATCATTGAATGTCGTCCGGCTTAGTGATCTTCTTGGTTAAGCGCCTGGCGGGAGACTGATAAGTCCTGGGTTTGAATCTCGTGTGGGACGGGATCGGGGATGCACACTGCTGAGGAGTCCCACAATAGGACGAAACGACCGTCCATTACTTCAAGGTTTTCCATGGTGGTCTAGCTTCAATTGATTCATGATTTCAACCGGTGAAATTTCTAAAAATCTCCATAAAACCCATTCTGATAATTATATATTTATTACATAATCATATTTTCAATATGTGTAAATATTGTCAATTTGATAAATTTGATAAAACTCTTTTGTGATTATAATCATCATATGCTCACTAGTGACTGACTTGAAGAGGTATTCCCTGGAGTTTTAATGAGAAGCAGTGACCAATAGTGTTCAACTGGTTCTGTTGTGAGATAGTAACTCACTGATGACAATGGTAGACAGTGGCGCAATTTCGTGGATTTATTGAAGTTAGACATTAAAACCGTTGAGTGGCGGCTTAGTGGTCGACAGATTAGCTACTGAATTCGAGTCTCGCGAGGTGGGATCGTGGATGTACATTACTGATGAGTCCCATAATAGAACACAACTGCCGTCCAGTGCCTCCACGTTTTCCATGATGGTCTAGCTTCAATTAACCTATGAGTTCAACCATTAAATGTTATCAAGTTATACGAAACCAATTTTATATCATAATTAAAGTGATTTCAACAACATACAGATATAATAGGAACCAGGAAATCTAAGTATTATAGTACTCTAATTCATATCCATATATTAGATTAAAATCAAGTTAGTAGATGTAATATCTATTCGGTTATTGAGATTATTTTCCTTGAACATTTGAGCAATGTGTTTGTATTTGAAGGAAATCATCATGTTTAAGATTTGTTTGAAGTAAATAATTATGAGCACACATTGTATATGTGTACTTACAAAAAAACGTTTCCAAACCATAGTGATACGATAAACACTTGAAAGCTCCAACGGAGACAATGTAGTTATCGAAATGATTTCCTAATTGTCTATCCTATGAAGAAATAAGGGACGATTGTATTTGGAATACATACATCTTAAATCCATTCATGATTCCAATCAAATTCAGAAATTTCAACAACCCCTTATTGACAATTGTCATGCGCTCGCCACAGCCTAGCTTTGAGAGGAGACGTCATGGCCAGTGGAGCAAATCCATGTCAGATTTGAGACAGTTACCCATCAAAGACAATGTGAAGTGGATTGATCGAAGTTAAGCATCAACACCTTCGGAGACCAATTCAGCGGTCTACAGAAATTGAGCATTCGCGTAAGAGTCTTCAGACAGTGAGCTCGATTCCCACGTGCTTGGTTGTAGACGAGCACTACCAAGTAATTTCGCACTAGGACAAAAATAATGTTCAGTACTTCCAGGTTTTCAATGGTGGTTTAACTTAGATTAATTCATAATTTCAATAAAAATCTACCCATCTAGTATACAGTGAATGAAATGAAATTTGTAGAAGTTGATTTGGTAGAAAAACTTTATCGAAGATGATGGATAGATACTGAAAGCTGAAAATGAAGTGATGTTGCATAATATAGTCATGATTATCAACAGATTTTAAGTATCGCGTATAATAGTTTATACATGGAAGGGTTTTATTTTAATGTAATTAAAGCTTTTAGCCATTGAATAAGAAAGCGGTGTCGCAACATTTAATAATAATAGTCAAAGATCATCAAGAGCTTACGTTGTGTAATAGTTTTAAAAGTAAAAAGATGTAATAGTCTACTAAATAAAAGCTGGAAACAACTGTCCACTTAATAAAGGAAGATAACAATGTAATAATTGAGACTTATGATTTTTAAAGTTCTTGTTATTTGGATCAATCATACTTTTGAAGGTTAAGCGTACGAGTACGAGACAAGTCCTGAGTTCGACCTCCAAGTGTAAAGCCGTGGGTGAGGACTGTTGAAAAGCTCCATACTTAGTTAAACAACCTCCCAGGTATTCTATGTTTTCAGACGTCTAACTAAAATCAGTTTGTCACTTAAAATCTGTAAGAATATATATTTGTATGATACTAAATTTGTATCGCATCAGAATACTGTGAATCATAAAATATATTCCATTGTTACATGCTTTCAATTTTACATAAAAATCAAGTTACAAATCTCACTAAGAAAAGTTCTAATAGTTTTTGTTTGATTAATGGTGACAATTAGGACAGAATTTGGACATTCTCGTAAAGCAGCATAGACAAAACACAGTGATTGATCGGTTTTAGCTTCGAATACTTGTAATAGGAGAAAATAAATGCTTACAATTAATAATAAGTATGGTGCCTAGCAAACAAGTAAGTTAGTTACTGTCAATCAATGACTTACTGGGTAGAGACTACGACATATCAAATTTACTTAGTTACTAAGCCTATGTCTCAGTAACTAATGGTGTCAGATAAACCAGTTAGACATCTCAATTCAAGCCCTCAAATGCCCTGGTACGGCCGAGAGCGGAGACAGCCAGCCATCTCTCTCTCTCTCTAAATGCTCTTACATGGCCACATGAATACAACCCCTGCCAGAGAAGTCCTACTCATTGCCTTCTTGCGGCGGGGGTGTTGTTTACGAAGTTTAGAGGACGCAAAGCGAAATGTTCAAAAATAAACACATTTAAAAATATCCTATCAACATTGAATAACAAATATTTATTTCAATAGTCGAGATCATGAGTCAATTGAAGCTAGACCACCATGGAAAACCTGGAAGCACTGGACGGCAGTTTCATTCTATTGTGCGACTCCTCAGAAGTGCGGATCCACAATCCCGCCTAGCTAGATTCGATTGTTAACTGATATTTTTTAAGTCAGCCCTATGCTTATGACTTTTTAAGTATATAATGTATACTATAGGTGAAATACAGTAAAGCATCTATATGTTATATTCTTTTGACAACTACTGTAATGTATCACGTTTACATTTTTCCGGCATTTACAGTAGTCTGTTTTTTAATAGTTGAATTTATAATTCAATTTAAGCTACATCACCATTAAAAACCTGGGAACAGCGAATGGCCATTTCATTCTAGTGTGGGACTCCTCAACAGTGCGCAGGTTTTCAATGGTGATCCAGCTTAAATCAATTCATGAATTCAACTATTAAAAATGACTAAATCTCCACAAACCCTCATTCTGATAATAGTCTTTTTTGTAGAGTGAACCTTGTTTAATTAAATAATTCAGTAATTTGTGATAGAGATTTTATTCAGTAAAATCAGAGTGATTTCAAACCGAATAATAAATGATGAAAAACACAGTCTATTCGCACTATCATTTCATCTTTTATTTTTCTTACTGAAGCTCATCTCCAACTGTTGCATTGTCATGAATTCTTTCAACTCTAAATTAATCAAATGGATAAGTTTTAATAGTTGAGATCATGATTCGCTTGAAGCTAGACCATCATGAAAACCTGGAAACACTGGGCGTTTGTTTCATCCTAGCATAGAACTACCCATCAGTGAGCAAATACAACCCTGCCTCGCGAGATCCGAACCCAGGTCTTATCGGTTTCACGCGCGAACGCTTAACCACTAGACCACTAAGCCGCCACCCAACGGTGTTAATGTCTAATTTCAACCAATCCACGAAATTGCACCACCGTCCATCATTGTCTTCAGTGTTACTATCTCACAACAGACCCAGTTGAATTTCATTTGGTCATTATAATAACCATAAAACCCATTCTGATATCAAATTGATAAGTGTTCATTATTAAAGCATATTTTTTCCGGTTTTAATTATAAAACTTTTTCACTAAAGAAAACACAAACAAACATAAAATTTACAATGATTAGTTGATCTTCTTTAAACTTTATAGTTTAATAATATAATCAAATAGACATTTGATAACTCACTTTTTCTCCTCACCTCCCTCCCTCCCTCACTCCACCCCACCCACACTATCAAATTCTATTCATCTAAATGTAACTAATCGATATACAAATTCATTAACTGATTACATAATCCGTTTATTCATTTGAAATTCATTATATATTTTTCAATAGAAATCAATAATTTGTATCTACCTCACTTTGTTTGTTTTTGTTTTGTTTTTTGGAATTAGAACTTAATTAACTAGTTTTCATTCAATTGAATGATTATTGAATATTGAAATCAAACAACCGACCAAGCAACCAACTAAACAACCCAAAATTAATGACAATTTATTATGTATCTATTTCATTTACACTTGACTAAAATGAAAATTGAAAAAGAAAAAAAATATACAGACATCTATCATAAATTCATTAATTTCTCTATGTATGTATTCTGTTTAATTTTAAATGAAAGAAGAAGAAGAAGAAGAAGAAGAAGAAGAAGAAGAAGAAACAGACAATTTGTTGTCATTTGAAATAATCGTTGTTTCTTCATGAGTTCGTTTATAATGAATATGAAATATGATTTATGTAGATTTTAAGGTATTACATGTATATATGATGTAAAACTTAAGTAAAAAAAACATTTGAAACGGAATCTTTAAGGTATGAACTAAATGCCAGCACTAGATCATGTTTTGTAGAAGTACTTTGCACTTCGAAGGTGTAACGCATATACCATAACTACGGACACTGATTGCCAACTGATTAAGTGCGGACTGCATGGCTTCAGGATTATCGCACCGTAAGTCAATGTCATCCGCACACTCAAGGTCGAGTAGTATTCCTCCAAGCAACAGATCCACACCGACGTTACTTACATTCAACAGAGCTGCTTCCAGAATGTCATCGATAGCAAAGTTGAAGAGGAAGATTGAATAAGATTGGGCAACCCTGTCTAACCCCACCGCTTGAATAGATCAATGAAGAAAGGTGGTTGTATGCCCTCACTCTACCTGAGGTGTTTGTACATGGAGCCCCTTCAAGATGTTAATAAATTTCTCAGACACACCTTTCTTCAATAGACAATCCCAGAGAACAGTCCTGTCCAACGAATCGAAGGAAGCCCTGATGTCAAGAAACACTACGACTGTTGGCCTGTGATAATTATGACG